CCACCCCCGCTCCCTGCCCCCCGCCCCTGCCCCAGCCTCTTGGCTGCAAGACTGCGGTAGTCCCACTGCAGTCACTTTTCAAAGTAGCTTTACTGGATGCAGTTCACACGTGGTCGGATGCCATGAACGTGGACACTTACGGCTTATCACTTTGTAAAGGTCCCTCACCCCCTCTGCTGTCATCCCCACCCCTATGTAACCTCTCATCTTCTTTCTGTCTCTATAGGGTTGCCTGTTCTGGACTTTACTCTGAGTGATATGTTATAGAAAAGCCTGCAGAAAAATCGAATTAAAGTATTAAGTCTATTTTGGGGCAGAACTTGTTTGGATCTGTGGACATAGTGTTTTCACAGTACTCATTTCCCACAAACTTTCTGAACACTCCCTGCACGTGTGTGCACACATGTATGTATGTGTTCTCACATTGCATACGCTTGTGCACCCTTTTATGATGGGCTTCTTTCACTTAACATAGCATTTCCAGGCGTGTCTGAGTTGTATGCCTCCACGCTTCATTCCTCTTTCCATCGTGTGGGTAGGCCACACTCTCCTCAGTGCTCACGGCTGACATGGTTCCTCTCGGCCCCTCTGACGTGTGTCTGCATAGATTCTTGTCCCTTCTGGTGTGTTCTGCATGAGTGAATGAGTGAGTGTCTTAGGACCTGAGTGAGGCAAGGGTGGTGTCCCAGGGGCGCAGAGCCTGCAGGTGTGGGTGGTCCGTCCACCTGCTGGGCCTCTGCTCCTGGGGCCTCACCTCACCCCTGTACCATCTGGCCATGGGACCTGCTTGGTTACTCCTAGAGCCAGCAGGGACGGGCTGAGGTGTTACTCTGGGCTCTGACTGTGGCTGAGGGCTCCTCCGTGTGAGGGAGGAACTGCACACACCTCTTACTGAGGGAAGGCGGCCCAAAGTCCCCCAGTGTCCCACCTACCCTAATGTTTGTCACTCATGTGGGGACAGTGAGGCCTGTGCATGAGACGGAGAGCAGGATGCTGGGAGGTTGCTGGACCAACAGCCCCAGTACAGGCAGGAGGCTGGGGACTGCACGTGACCCTGCCTTCACCAGAGCTGCTGGAGCTGGGAAATTGGTGGGGACCCTTCTGGAAACTTCCAGAAGGTAACTCAGTGGGTAACTGCCCTACTGGTTTAAAGGAAAACAGTGGTGTGTGCACATTTGTCTGTATGTGTATTGCCGGTTGCGTATCTTTACTGATTTGATTCTGTTGACCATATGTCATGTGTATAGTAACACATAGCGAATACATTGACACATACACATAAACGCACATGTAGCCCACGCAGCACGTGACTCAGTGTGAGTGTGTCATGCAAGGCTGTGTTAGTCAGATGAGAGGAACAATTTGCACTTGAATCAGGAAAATAATTATTTGCCTCAAAAGTAGTCTCACTGCAAGGCAGGCCGTAAGCAGTATTCTGTTATTTCTGTGACATTTAGGGGATAAGGAAGATTCTACTTAAAACAAGTTCGCCTTTAAGCGCGCGCACGCTTGCCGGGAAGAATCGCGGTACAGGTGGGAGTTCTGCACACTGAAGTGTTGTTCTCTCCTGAGGTGAGAACAGGTGGCCGAGGCCAGTCCTCGGGCGCATTCTGCACACACGTCCCTGACGTGGACAGACACTTCCTGCATATGCAAGACGTAGGGATCCTAGCCTGCTTTCACACTCGGCGGTGTCGTGACGTCTCTTGGGAACAACTCAGGTTAACGCCCCAAACATTCAGAGAGCTCCCGCCAGATTCTGGGGTGTGGGGTGGGCTGAGTGATGGCATCAGGTGCTGTCTCGTTTGATACGGCTGGATGCCAGGAGCTCTCACTAGTCTTTGCTCACAAGCATTTTTACGGGGTGTGGGGAGGCAGCTATATCCAGTTACCTTCCCTGAGGCCCCAGAGGAATTGGCGTGAGACTTCTAGCCACCAGGCTCACCTTGGCAGCAGAAGGGAGGGTGTGCCCTGAGGGAGTGGGGACAGCTGCTGGAAGGCACCCTCGGGTCGGGGAGTGCACAGAGGCACGCAGCCCGTCCCCGCCCTCACCACGCTCTCCCCGTGGAGGATCTCTTTTCTCGACTGTCAGGATCATCCGTGACGTGAGTACGCAGGACAGGTGAATCTTCTTGGCCAGATCTGCCCAGGAGAACTTCCCCAGGTTGGATGCGTGGGACCACTGTGATGCTTCTTCCTGGCCGAGCATGCCCGTTTCAGCCCTGAGCTCACCTCCCACTGGTCTCCCCCTTGTAGGGCAAAACAGGGTGTAGCT